TGACGCTGGTTGTTGCGGGTGTTGTGATGAGTGTGGTTGTTGCTGGTGCTGTTGTGGCCAGAGTTGTCGGGATGGTGGTGGTGTCTGTTTGTGAATGTTGGATAGTGGTTGTTTCCGTCGTGGTGGTTGTGGAGAGTGGTGTTGTTGTTGCGGTTGTGATTGTGCTTTCCACGGTGGGTGTTTGTGATGGTGTTGTGTTGATGGTTGTATAGGTGGTCGGTGTTTGTGTGGTTGTGGACGATGGTGACGATGTGGTCTCGCTTGTGGTCGTCGTCATGGTCGTGGGTGTTTGAGTTGGCGTAGTAGATTCAGTCGTGTTTTCTGTCATTGTCATTTTTTCTGTTTCTGTTATGATTTCCGTGTCTGTTGTGTTTACTTCATTTATTGCCTGTGTCGTGTTGTCTATAGTTTGCTGCTGGCGTTTTTGTATATTTGATTTCTCTGAAAATGAACGGATATTTCTTGTTTATTCTTAGTCTTTTTTGTGTGTTCTAATATCTTATGTATATTTTTTTTGAGGTTGCTTACTTTATTTTCTGTTTTCTGATACGTATATTATATACTTTATTAGTTTATTGCTGTTTTTGGTCTGCGTTACTTTTTTCCTTAGTACACTATAGGAAATGTTATGTTATTGTTTATTTTTATGGGTTTTGATTTTGTTTTTAATCATTAATCTTTACTTTATTTATGTTTTCAGAGAATCCCAGTTTTAGAACATGATTATCATGTTACCATCGTTTGTCTACTTATATTTATTTAAGTAGACAAATTCATGTTTGCTATTTTTTCAGTATAAGTCATTTGGAATGAATGTTTCAAACATTTTCTGTAACTTATGTACTACTGAATAATATGCAAAGTATGAATGTATGCAAACTCAACAAAAAATTGTAAGTTTATCTGTTTGGTAGACATGGTTTGCATTCATATTGTTTAGTTTTTTGAAAGAAATTGAAATTTTGTCATATACTTATGTTCTAATAGAAACACCATCGATAACCTGGAAGCAGTGGAAGACCGTTTTATCCTAACAAGGGGCTCTTCAATACCACGAGTCCATGAGCCTACTCGGAAGATTGAACTCACGTCGCGCTCGAACGCTTAAACTCTAGATCACTGAGCCGGTATTCAACGGCAATAATGTTGTACTTTTACCAATCCACGAAATTTCGGCAACGTCCACTAATGCCTTTAGAGAGTCATCACCTGACAATAGACACGGTTGAACTACACTGATCACGGCTTCTCACTAGAACTGGAGGAAATATCTTTTGATGCCAATCACTAGTGAGCATATGATGATTATTATTAGAAATAAGTTTTTATAGAGATTGTACTTATTTAATAGGTGTTTGCACACTGCTGAGGAGTGCCATACCAGGATGAAACGGCCATCTAGTGCTATCAGGTCTTCTCTAATGGTTTAGCTTTAATCGGTTCATGAATACAATCATTATATTATTAAAATCACATAAAACCCTCTTTTTTAAAAATTAATGTTTGTTAAATTTCAGTGATTGAATGTTAAGTAAAGTCAACTTTCCTCTCATCAATCTGATTTAAGATGTTAAAAGGGAATTATTTATATAATTAAACATCAAATTATCAAAAACCAATAATCAAATGGATTTTGTGATGTGTACTACTTATATCAACAAACATAAGTAGTATGTAGCATCAACCAAAGTAAAATGCCTGTAGACAGAATGTTAAAAAAGATTGATGAAAAGAGAACGAGAACAATGAATGATTGGTATGGAAACAAAAGAACAATAAGGTCTTGCAGAGACTATAATTTATGGACAAATCAATCAGATAACATATAACAGATCTTGGATTTTGGCGTAACATTCATTTATCGATTTACGTAAATAGCTCTTTAAGATTATAGTTGATGTTAGTTCGTGATGAAAACCCTTAATCCAAATTTCTAACCTTAACCATCAACTGTAAACTATAATTTTTAATCTTATCACAAGTTTATAACCTTGATTTGATCCTAGTTATTAAGTGAACACTCTCAAGGTTACTTTAGTGTCGCTCAATGGTCGAACATAAATAGTAGTCTCATCTAGGCATTTGACTTTCAATTGATGATATATACTACTTATATTTGTCGGAATGAGTAGTATAAAACATCATTCTAATTTAGACGAAATTTCATGTAAATTATTGTATATATTATAAATAAGTCCATCATCTAATTCATATTATTACTATAAATAAAAGTTGATAAATGGATCTTCTTGTTCGAAGTTTAAGGCAACATAATTCTTACTTAATAAGTAGCTGTATATTGTACATTTTATATCAGTCAGTCAGTCAGTCAGTCAGCTACAAAATAGGACTAGGCACATCTATACATCGGTCAAAGTTTCCATAATACTATTATAATCTTCAATGAAAGGCCGTGACCGATAAAGAAGAAGAATAGACAGTGGAGATAGCGTTGTACAGTTTGTCTAAACGAATAATTCCTCTTTCAATTTAATTATCTCAACAACAACAACAAACACAATGAATTCAGTGATCATCTAAATAAATAAGACAAAGTCAGTGGTTTCAATATGAAATTAGTTTTATCTATTCCATGATATCTAATCGGTCAGTTGAAGAAAATCGTACAACTAGATGATTGTCTAATAACTAAGTATAACAGCTGAAAACTCTAGTCAGTAGAATATTTCGAGAGTGAGATGAGAAAATGAAGCTGATCTGCTTTTCAGTCATAAATTAAGTAAAAAGAAGTCAATATTGGTGAGAAGTTTACATTTAATTCATCAATTTAAATCGAACATTATTAGGATGAATAGAATTATAAGATGGACAACGATCTGTATTCCTCATCTACACGAATGGGACGCTAATTTGCCTCACATATAATTCCAGTGTCTACTCTACAGGACTTCAGTACAATTCAGATCAAGAACACTTGATTGGCCGAACTAGAACATAAGTATATTTTAACACCAAAAACCAACAACAATCACAATAATAATAAGGGTAGGGAAATATCGAACTCATCTAATAAATATTAGACTATCTCTACTGGTCTGATTAAACAAACAACCAATTGTTATCTAATGACAAATTGTTTCAAAGATTATTTTAATAATTTCATCAGGTGAGATCAATTGAGTCAATTGAAGCTAGACCACTATGGAAACCTGGAACCACTGGACGGCCGTTTCATCCTAGTATGTGACTCTTCAGCAGTGCTCACCCATGATCCCGTCACGCACATATATGCGTTGGTCAAAGTTGGCATACTTCATTAGCACAACAAGATGAACACCGGATTCAAAGAAGTAGTCAGTTCAATGGTAGTAATAATTAAAAGAAAAATTGTGTATAAGGATGTAGTACAGGAAGAAAGAATTAGTTCGTAGAAAGAAAGATATAAAGTAGTTTTAATCCCACGGTTTAAAGGAAGATAGAGAGTGTATACACCTACACCATTGTTATCGATTCTGAACCATGTCACCCACAGTCTCCAACCATTGATTACTATAGTTATAACATATAACATATGAACGATATTTAAGTGGCTTTGTGAATGTCCATTGGTGTGACTATAATTTATGGACGATATTTGATCGACACTATCATGACCTTGAGGGTGTCCACCCTACTTACTACGGTTAAATGAGAGTTATAAAGCAGTTTAAAGAATATGGGTTATAATTTACAATTGATGGTTAAGGTTAGAAATTAGATTTAAGATTTTTTCATCACGAACTGACATCAAAAATTTCTATGTAACTAAATTGAATGAATGAATTTCGCGCCAAAATCTAAGATCTGTTATCTTATACGTGATTGGTTCATTCATAAATTATATTCTCATTTGTCTGTCTACTAAATAGGGCTATATTAAGGGTTTTCAAGTAGTTTGAAGTATAAGAATTCTAGTTTACAATTCATGGTTTGTATCAGAAGGGGTTTTGTGGAGATTTTAGAAATTTCACTGGTTGAATTCTTGAGTCACTATAGAACACCTGGAAGCACTGAATAGCCGTTTCGTCCCAGTATGGGACTCCTCAGCAGTGCGCATCCACGATCCCGCACCCCACGGATTCGAACCCAGGGCCTATCAGTCTCGTTTGCGGGTGCGGGATCGTGGATGATGGTTTGTAGTTAATGATTAGAGTTAAGGTTGTTTATTTTTACCGCGAACTAATATCAGCTAAAATCATAAAATGTTCTTTCATCAAATGAATAAATGAATTTAGCGCCACAATTCAAGATCTATTATCCTGAAGCCTAATTAGTTCGTCTTACGATTGTTTATATCATTATAGAAAGGTTATAAATAAGTTTAATTAGAATTTAGTCTATCAATATTATTGTAGATTATCAAACATTCATGAGAAGAATATAATTTAAGTCAATGAATAAGAAATCAAACATGACAGAATATAAAATTAGGTAAAAGAAAAAGGAATACCATATTAGTTAGTATAGTTTCATTGAAATATATTTTTAATAGTTGAATTCACGAGTCAATTGAAGCTAGATCATCAAGGAAAACCTGGATGTACTGGACAACCCTTTTCGTTCTAGTATGATATTCCTGGTCAGCTGGCTCTGCGGGATTCGGATCTAGGACCTATCGGTCACGCAAGTGAGCTCTTAACCACTAGATCACTGAACTGGCCAGTATCCAACGGTGTTATTGTCTAACTTCAACTAATCCACGAAATTGATCAACACATCCACCATTGTCTTCAATGAGTTACTATATCATAATAAATCCGGTTGAACTTCACTGGTCATTACATCTCACTAGAACTCCAGGAAATACCTCATGAAGTCAGTCACTAGTGAACTGATGGTGATTTTTATTAGTAGGGGACTACTCAGTGGAAGTACACAATCACAATCTCTCCTTATCCGATTCAATTGACTCATGATCTCAATTATTAAACTTACTATAATATCCATAAAAACCTTTTCTGAAATTAATTTCAATTGAATTACTTAATGAATTAACTTACCTAAATCATTGATAGCCCGTTTTCTAATTGTTCATTCATATTTTGTTCTTTATAGATAACATGATTATCATTTTTAATATGATCAAAAAATTTTATTGTCCAATCTTTTGTTTGATAAAATAAATTTACTGACGATGATGATGATGAGGATGACGACGATGCTGATACTGTCGTTGCCGCCGCCGCCGCCGCCGCTGATGATGATGATGATGATGATGATCGTAATGAATGGAACAATGATAAAGATGAGTATGATTGACTTTCCAATGATATAATAGTGACATAAGTAACATATAAAAGAATAGCTTTTATAATAATATTTTGAATGAGTAGTAATGAACTACTCAAATGAATTATATTCATTTTCTTTTCAATGTTATAAACAGAATGTTTTCTCGGTTGTTATATAATTATCTTCCAATAGTTGTTATTGATCTATTTTTCTCTTTCACTTCTTCTTTTTGAAAGAATCTAAATAAGAAAAAAGGTAAGATGAATGAATGAAAACAACAAACAATATGATAATAGTTCTTGAGTGGTAGCTTATGCTTTTGGCGCCAAAAGCATAAGCTTCCATTCAAATGTAACTGTATTATCTCTATGAATATCTTCATCAGCATGTTCTGTTACCAAGTGTAAGTGAAAGACTTTCAAACATGATAATTGTATCATTAATTATTTATGTTATTGTCAATAATGACATCAGATAATTAAAATAACCATAGTGCCATTGAATAAGAAAAAGAGAATTCAGCGAAGAAAATTTTCTTTTCGACGAAATCATTTACTTAAGCTGTACATTCGTATATATAGTTAGATATGGAAAATGTATGTCTATAGAAGGATAGAATGGATTGTATCACAAAAATATGGATTCGACAATAAATAACAAATGAGGTTAACGTACTAATCAAGGGATAAGGAAGAACAAAATTTAAGGGTCATCATCATTAGTTACCTTTTTCAAAATACTGACATTTTAAATTCCCATGATGTTGTTTTACTTGTATCTTCTCATTTTTATTTAGGATTGCAATTGATCAGTCTCTTATTGGCATATGTGTATACGATGCGAATCGCCTCGATATTGTCTTAAGCCATTAGCTTTATAAGAAAATATGAAAGCAAAAGTTACTGAGTTCGAGTGCTGTAGTGAACATCAACTGTGAGATGCAGGTACATCCATCTGATAACCTAGAGTATAGAATTTTAAGTGCAAACTCTTATTTCTATTTATCTATCTATCTATCTATCATAGTTTTAGTCGCTATTATAATCTATCACGTATTTGATACAGATCTCGAAATTCCAAAATAACAATGAAATTGTTAGAAGATTCATTGACCACTTATAATGTGATAGTCGATTTCTTAAAACAATGAAATAGTAAGCAAAGATGGATAGTGGCTGGTAGTGAAATCCAGGACGCGTGCCACTTTGTCTTAATTGGGGCTCAATAACTAGATTATACCTTCATCTCAGAATTCATGTTCACTCTAGGACTCGAACCCAATACCGTTCGTTTCAAGTGACATCGCATTATCCAATTAGCTACTGAGTCCTGATAACCACTTATTTGTATAATGTATCATCAATTTGATTATTCTTTCTCAAATAATATCCAAGTGTTATGTATTAGTAAACTCAATCATAATGTAGTTGTATATGAGTCACCTTCTAACTGTGAAACTTAATAATACTGTCCAAATTGAATTAAGTTGAATAGGCTTCGATAAATTGACAGTAAACAAGGCTATAAACAGTTTCCTATTGATTACTTTCGGAGTCGAGTTACTAAGACTGATATGATCATATTGTATGCTAATCAATAAAATTTGATCATAACTAAAGGATTAGATCATTATGACATTAGTTACTAATCAGTAGTCAGTCAATTAAATATACATTACTTATTCATACGCTTATTAGCTTTAACTATCTTAAAGGTAAGACCATTGACTTGATTTCAAAACTGGATAGAATGTAACCATTGAGAAATCAAAACAGTTTATCTTTGAACTTCTCTTCTTTTCTTTCATTCGTAATCAACAATCTAGTGCTTAAACGAACTTAATAGATTGATGAAGAACGAATTGGGTATTTGGAACATAATATACTGTATATTGAAGCCAAAAAAAGAGAAAGATCAAAGAATATATTACACCAAGAAATGGAGCCAGATAGGAGAAAAATGAACAGAAATTGGATAGAATTAGAAAGGAAGGCCCAGGACAAAGTGTGTTGGAGAATGCTGGTCGGCAGCCTATGCTCTATTGTGAGTAACAGGCGTCATTAAGTAAGTAATGTACTGTATATTACATAGATCCACCTTGTTGAGATCCAAAAATAACAACATTTACATCTTGTTCCTGGAATAATATAAATTTAATAGAACTTGTTATTAAAGATAATATTGAGACAGTAATATAAACATATCTATATAGAATAATCTTCTGGAACCTTGATTATCAATCATGGGAAATTACAGGTTAATCTTGATCCATCTTGATTAGTCTACTCAAAGGCATATGTGTTTGTAATTTATCTGTAGTATAAAGACTACTGGATTATGAAGACTTTGACATCTGAGGGGAAGCACGGAATACAATGGACAGCTTGGAATAAATAAGAAGTTTTAGACTTCGCAGATGACCTGACCCTTCTACCCCATACATACGAATAAATGCAGATAAAGATAACTAGTGTAGCAGCAGCGTCTGCATCATACATACGGGAAAAAGCAACACCCCAAATACAGCACAGAGAACACCAACAAAATCACACTTGTTGGAGAAACTTTAGAACAGGTGGAAACTTTCACGAAACTGAAGACTATCATCGATAAACGAGGAGGATCCAGTGCTGACGTGAAGGCGAGGATCAGCAAGGCAAGGGCCGCATTCCTACAGTTGAAGAACATATGGAACTCAAAACATTTACCAACCATTATCAAGGTCAGAATGTTCAATACGAACACCATGACAGTTCTACTGTACGAACCTGAAACGTGGGAAAATACCCCAACTATCATCAAAAAGTACAAGTATTTATAAGCAGTTGTCTACACAATATACTCCAGGTTTTTTCGTCGGATACCATTAGTAACAGCCTACTGTGGGAGAGAACAAACCAGATTCCAGATGAAGAGTAAGTCAGGAAAAGACATTGGAAGTGAATAAGACATTCAGTGTGGAAATCACCAAACTGCATCAAGAAGCAAGCCACAGCTAGTAATTCTGAAGGGAAACAGAAAAGAGGAAGGTCAAAGAACATACTGCGTTGAGAAATGGAAGCAGACATGAAAAGGATGATTAGCAACTGGAAAATGTTTTCTAGGACAGGGTTGGATGGAGAGTGTTGATTGACGGCCTGTGCTCTTTGATGAAGGTTAACAGGCGTAAATAAGTGAGTGAGTAGGTAAGTAAGTAAGTAAGAAGTATGTGGTAATAAATAGTTCAACCTTTTTTGGAAACATTTCCCAAAAGAAAATAGTGATATAAAAACACTTCTCATTTACTTATTATTATGCATCTTAATCAAATATAACTACTTAGAAGTATATAAAGAGTAAATAAGTGTTCACTTAATTAGATATTTAACTAATCTATTCATCAATTATAATTGATCATATGTTATAATAGAAAATACACTTGACATAAGTGACATAAAATTATGTTAGTTTATTGTGGACATTGTTAAATTTCCCATAGTTTACATGATCAACTAATCTATAGGTTAAGCATTCATGCACAAGACTTAATGTTCTACGGTTTTGAAATAGTGAATGATGGTGGATGATGGTCGATCATCTCTGATGCGGTTATAGATGTGTGCTGTTGAGTATATTATTACAAAATAACTGTACAATGTTTCCTGATTTTCAATGATGACTTAATTAAGATCTACTAATGATGTAATCTAAGAAAATGTTGTATTAAATGCTTGCTACGGCCAAGGGCGGGGAGAGTCCACTTTCCCTCTCGAAATGATCTCACATGGCCGCGCGTATACAACCATTACCAGGGAAGTTCAACTCACTGCCTTCTCACGGTGAGGGTGTTGTTTACAAAATTGAGAGGACGAAAAGCGAATATCCGGAGCTTCAACCAGGTTGATAGAAACAGAGGATCCACCTATGGGAATTGGAAAACCCTGATTCCAAACCAATGGCGCACATAGGCTCCAAGATCCTGAAGGAACAAATCGCATATGAACCATTTGTTGGTCGTCGGCTACCATGGGACTACATCTCCTGACATTGCTCCACTGCCTTGTGATTCAGACTTTTAGGCTGAAGCCTCTGAGAAAACTACCTACTTCAGTCTGGGCACCCAGGCAGTATCATAGCCCACACACAAATCAAGTGACTTGCGTGACGTATATGTATTCGATACTCCTTTGTACCAATATTTATGTGTTCAAATAAATAATTAAATAAAGACTAATGAGATTAAACGATGAAAATTATTATAAAAACTTTGACGTTTCAAAATGAAAGATTTAGAGGTAACTATGCTAGATATATATTACTTAATATATTTATTCATCAGTATAGTAACTATGGCAACTGATAAATTTTGGGAAAAAAATTTGTTTTACTCAGTAGTTTTATGAGTTTTCTGTGAATTTTCCTTAAATTACTTTAACTTTTTAAATAAATTTCTAACTGGATGTGTGATTAGGTATATCAGTGTACAACTCATAAGGATTTTCATTGAATTTGAGTATATCCCAACTGACGAGTTTAAAATAAGACGAAATATTTGTGTTCAATACCATTCTGCAGCAATTTGAATGACCACCTCGGTCTCCCACATTGTACGAGCATTCGATGTACCTAAATTAATGGTTGCTCTGGTTGTCAGAAGGAGCATCAACTTCGTGACTTCCAAAAGAACTCGGCTTTCACCAATGAAGCATCATATCTCTTTTAAATGAAGACATTCTAACACCCAGGGCAGAATTTAAATGGTTTGAATTATTTTTTCTGGTTAGGGTTTTTTTAATGAGTTAGTTTTCTACGAGATGAGGTCACTAACCCCATGCCCAACCCTCCTCCTTTATCCAGGCTTGGGACCGATAGTAGCCTCAAAGTGACTTCGGATGGAGTTCTTCAATACCATCGCTACATATTATCTGGACTGATATTGGATACTCCAAGATGGTATCGAAAGCTATTTCTGATGTTCCTAGATTAGTCATAATATTTGTGAATTAATATCATATTTATGAGACTCAAGTGATAGATCAATTTTCACTGATGCTGAGACACTGTCCAGCTGATAAGCTTGAACAGATAGAAATACAAATTATAAGGTTTAATGCATACAGCCTTATACTTATTGACATTGATATTTAGTCAA